GGAGTCCAACCAGTATTGCACTTCTCAGGTTCTGTGACTGGTCTCAGCACCAGTCCTTCAGCTTAGGTCCCTGTGGTGCATTGAACATCCTATACTGTCATCATAGGCCTGGGAGAACCTGGGTCCACCAGGCCAGACGAGCCCAAAAGCACACGGAATAGTGTTACATGACTCCTTCATTCTAACACGTTGGTTTCTTATTCGCTATTGTTCAAATACGGTAATTAACAATACTCATATTTTACTGTTTACAAAGCACTTTTGCTATCATATCCTGGGATGATTAGAACTTTGCCTCTTATCAATGCTGATTGTTTTCTCCTCATGTTTATAATTTGTTTAGCATATCTTCACACTTTCCAAATTTACTTTACTAAGTTTTTCACAGAATTTAGTAGAAGAGATGAGAACTTAAATTGAAGAAAGTGAAATCTTTCCATTGTAATTTATTTTTGCAGGATATGAAGGCAAATTAGATGCTTCCTATACTCACTTTGAATAGGTGGATGACATATCCCAGTTCAGGAGACTTCCATAGGAAACTTCAGAAAGCCAAACCAGGGATCCTAGAGGATGAAAGGTGTTTTTAAATATTAAGGGAAATGGCTCCAGTTTATTTGAGTAAAAAAGATTAGCTAATTTATTTGAAATAAATGAGGTTTGCCCTGGCCAGTGTGGCTCAGTTGGTTAAGTGTCATTCCATGCACTGAAAGGTCACTGGTTTGATTCCTGGTCAGGGCACATGCCCAGGTTTCAGGTTCAATGGGAGACAAGTGATCCATGTATCCCTCTCACATCGATGTTTCTCTCTCTCTCCCTCTCCCTTTCTCTTGCTCTAAAATCAATAAAAACATTTTTTAATTTTACTTTATTTTTTTTATTAATTTATTTTTGTTACAGATGTTTCTCCTTTTCCCCCCACTGATTCCCCCCTCCCCGTCCCTACCCACCCTGTCCCCAGCTTTGTTGTCCAGATCCATTGTTCATGCATACATGCATATAAGTTCTGTGGTTTATCTCTCCCCGAACCACCCCCTCTTCTGGGGATTGTCAGTCTGTACCCCACTTCCACATCTCTGGGACTGCCCCATTCCTCACACTGTTATGTTCATTATATTCCACAGATAAGTGAGATCATATAATACTTGTCTTTCTCTGTTTGGTTTCTTTCACTTAGGATAATACTTTCCAGGTCCCTCCATGTCATCTCAAAGGATGAGAGATATTTCTTTCTTACAGCTGAATAGTACTCCATTGTGTATATGTACCACAGCATTTTTATCCCTTCATCTACTGATGGACACCTGGGCTGTTTCCAGATCTTAGGTATTGTAAATAGTGCTGCTACAAACGTGGGGGTACATATATTCTTTCTGATTTGTGTTTCAAGCTTCTTAGGGTATATTCCTAGAAGTGCAATCACTGGGTCAAATGGAAGTTCAATTTTTAATTTTTTGAGGTAGCACCATATTGTTTTCCATATTGGCTGCACCAGTCTCCATTCCCACCAGCAGTGTACTAGAGTCCCCTTTTCTCCACACCATCGCCAACACTTGTTGTTTGATGACTTGTTGATGGCGGCCATACTGACAGGTGTGAGGTGATACCTCACTGTTGTTTTACTTTGCATCTCTCTGATGATTAGTGATGTTAAACATTTTTTCATATGTCTCTAAGGCATTTGTATATTCTGTTTGGAGAGGTGTCTATTTAGTTCCTCTGCCCATTTTTTAATTGGGTTCTTTGTTTTCCTTTTGTTGAGTTGTATGAGCACTCTCTATATATTGAAAATTAACCCCTTATCTGATATATCATTGGCAATGATGCTCTCCCATACAGTGGGTTGCCTTTCCATTTTGATGATTGTATCTTTTGCTGTGCAGAAGCTTTTGAGTTTGATGTATTCCCATGTGTTCATTTTCTCCTTTGTTTCTTCTTTTCCTTTTTTTAAATCCTCACCCGAGGATATTTTTCCATTTACCTTCAGATAGAGTGGTAGAAAGGGAGAGAGAGGAAGAAAGAGGAAGAGTGAGGTAGAGAGAGAGAGAGAAACAAAAATGTGAGACAGACACATCTACTGGTTACCTCCCGCACGACCCCGACCAGGGCCGGGGATGAACCGCAAGCAAGGTCCGTGCCCTTGACCGGAATCAAACCCGCAACTCTTTGGTCCACGGGCCGACGCTCTAACTGCTGAGCCAAACTGGCCAGGGCCAATACAAACATTTAAAAAGAGAAAAGAAATAAATGAGGTTCAAAAATTCAAACGGCAAAAATCACAAGTAAAAAGCAGAGTATTTGGGGATTAGCACAGCTGAGGTTTCCCAAGCACTGTGCTAATGTTATAGGCATACCTCACTTTATTGCTCTTCATAGATGTTGCATTTTAAAATAAAGATTATGACTAATTTTATTGTAATACTAGCTTTATTTTGGTAATCTGAAATCGAACCCATTATATCTGCAAGGTATGCCTGTACTCTATTTTAAAAAAACAAACTCATTGATTTAGTATAAGAGAAGTAGTTAAGGGTATGATCCCCATTACTTTGTAGTCACACCTTATAACCAACTATCTCTTCTATAATAGCCAATGTAAGAATAGCCTAAAAAGCACCTTGACACTGAGACATGCTGACAAGCAGAATACTGAGACGGGAAGACCAAAATTGTAATCAAAGATGCCACTTTAAGTGATCATGCAAATTCTAAATATGAATGGCAATTGTTTTCTGGCTAATTTAAATTTTAAGAGTTCAAAGTAAATTCTATTAAATATTTTTATCAATTTTAGCTTCTCCCTTTATTTTTAAAAATAGCCTTATATTTGTATAATTTATATTTATAAAAACATTGCAAAAATCATCAAGTCATAAAAAACAAAATAAATATTACCTCCAGAACTCGGAGTGAACCTCTGTTGGTATAATCCAACATTTATAAAAATTCCTTGTATTGTTTCTTGAGTGTTGTCTCTGTTCCTATCCTTGTTCACCCCCTTGTGGCCATGGTATGAAAAAGCCAAGAGCCAAACAGCAAAAAACGGAGAGAAAAAGCAAAGGACCTGGATAATAAGCAGGTCACCTCTCACTTTAACAGTATTTTCCATAATTAAGATAAATAGATCTGCTTGAAATCTGTGTGTGTCAGGGTCTTGGCAGGAAATACATGGGAGACTTAAAAGGTGATTGTAAATTATCCCTTCAGAAAGGAATGTCCTACTGATACCTCCTATTGGCTGAACCCAACTGGAAGCACCCAGAGGGCAAAGGAACCAAGTTTTTGCAATCCTTCACTGTCCAGCCTCCCAGGGTACAAAGCAGTGAAATGTAGAAAGTGGATCTGGCTGGGCAAACAGAGCAATTCCAGTACAAAATCTTTCTAACATACGTATTTCATTACAATTATAGATTCTTTTATAAGTTACAAGTCCAAAGAACACATTCTGGAATAACTCTTGTATAATTTGGTGTTGAATAACTGCAATTCTTGGGATCTATCTGGAAAAAATCCAGAGATAACAAAACTTCAAACTACCTGAAAACATTGCTTAGGCTTCTCTCCTCCATCTAATGACTATGGAGGTATAGTCTGGCATTTTAAGTTTGATGAGAGTGAGAATAGGTAGGGGAAAAAACAGAAAGGCAGAAATGGGGATATAGAGAACTCAGTTTCTGTTTGCTGCTGGTCCTCTTCCACCCTTTGCCCCACATGAAAAGAAAACTTCTCAGCTCCTACTTGGGATATTGAGACCAACACTGATTATTAGACTAAACATGTGTCTAAGACACCAGCAAAGCAGGGTCACCAAAAATCTGTGAAAGAAAATTTAAAAATTGGGGGATGAAGCTAATTTTATTTCAGCATATTTGTAAATTTTGTTTTAGAAAAGTGAAATTTTATGTTATTTTAGCACAGTTTTGACAATTTGTGGTGGTGGGGAGGGCTGTAGCACATGATATTTATTGTATTCTTTTTACAGCAGATTTTTTCAGTGTTTATTACTCTTTTATGAGAGGCTAACTCTACCAGTGCACAGAGCAAAACGCATTTCCCTTGATAATCTTGATCAGGGATTTGTGGTAGACAGCGCAATGTTTCAGGCCAACAGAAACCTTGGGCAACTAATTTTCTTTTTTATCATCAAGAAAATGAAAGGAGAGGGCACAGAAGGAGATACATGGTGATGGGCAAGAGACTTGACTTGGGGTGGTGATGATGTGCAGATGATGTGTTGTTGAACTGTGCATCAGAAACCTGCATAATTCTGTTAACCCGTGTCACCCCAATAAATTCAATTAAAAGGAGAAAAGAAAAAAAGAAAAAAAAAGAAACTAAAATTAAAGGAGTGGAGATCTCGGAAATCTCGGCTTAGCCCCATAGTCAACATTGGCAGGTTTACCCCCTCCCCCCAAAGTTGTTGTTATGCTCACCATAAATCATTCAAAATAGAACGAATGGGGTCCTGTCAGCTGCCCCTCGACTCTCCCTTTCCACCAGAGGCAACCCTCGGTAAATAGTTGACGTATTTTTCCAGCTATTTTCTCTGCAGAGACATTATCTCCTTTGAGCACACAAACGGGGCCTTTTCATCTCATATGCCTTCGGGCATTTCCAGAAGCTCTGTTAAACGTGTTCTTCGGGACCGCAGCTCTGTAAGCCTTAGCTTCCCTTGCAGACACTACTGCAGCTCCTCCTCGTCCCACTCGGTCTTATCATCTTTTTCTCCCGTGAGGTCCTCGGCCCCGGTGGTTGCCACAGCAACACACACTTCTCTCTCGTTTTGTAGGCGGTCCCTTTCTCTTGACAAGCTCCTCAGGCCGCCTTCCAGCCCCGAGCACCGGTACCTTCGCCTCGTTTCCGCCTCGCAAGTCGATTGGCCAAAGCTTGTGAGCCCCAGCTCGCGCCAGAGTCGCCAGAGCCGAGCGCGCTGTGATGACGTCATCCGGCGGCGGCGGCGGCGCCTGGGAGACGGGGAGGGCTTCCGGGGGTGCCGGCCTGACCGCTGCGAGCTGCTGTCATGGCGGCCGCTCAGTGGGGCTTCTTCTCGGTCCAGCTGCTGCTGCTGCTGCTAGCAGGGAAAGCCCGGAGCTCGGAGGTCCCCGGGGCCTCTGCCGAGGGGTCCGCAGGGGTTGGGGTCGGCATAGGAGATCGCTTCAAGATTGAGGGGCGTGCGGTAGTTCCAGGAGTGAAGCCTCAGGACTGGATCTCGGCGGCCCGAGTGCTGGTAGACGGAGAGGAGCATGTCGGCTTCCTTAAGTGAGCGGTGGGGGAGCGGTTGGGATGGCAACCGGAGGGGAAGTACCCCTGGGAGAGCTAAGTGTCAAGACCCGACGACAACGCTGTGGGAGGGTGTAGGGGCGGGCGCCGCTGGCGGTCTGCGCCCGGAGACTGGGGGGCAGTTGGACACTGTCCCCTTCCCAGCCCGGTAGCTCAGAAATGAGGACGGCAGGTGCTTGCCCCAGGGCCGGAGCAGTGGGGTCAGTTATCTTCAACTCCATTTTGGCCCTGTATGGGGACGACCACTCCTCGGCCCTGGAGACAGATGGACCCCTTATTTGTCTCTTGCTGAATTCTTTCTTTCGCATCTCATCTGGTTTCCCGTCTTTCTTTATCTTTCTTTCTTTCTTTCTTTCTTTCTTTCTTTCTTTCTTTCTTTCTTTCTTTCTTTCTTTCTTATTCTTAATTTCTTTCTTTCTTAATTTCTTTCTTTCTCTCTTTCTTTCTTTCTCTCTTTCTTTTTTTCTCTCTTTCTTTTTTTCTCTCTTTCTCTTTTTCTTTCATTTATGTCAGTCTTTTTGTAGCTTGCTGTTGTGTGGAAAGATGCTAAGCAAGTGGGAATTCTGAAAGCCCAAGGGCTTCTAGTGATGACATAGATTGGGAGGCTGGTGCTACTTCTAAAATTAATAGGCCCTGAAGTCCCTAATCAAAGCACCTTCTTCGCCTGGAGGTGGGACTGTTGTTCTTTTTCACACTTGAATTCATCGAGGGATTTGCAACATTACACTTGGCATTTATGTAAGACTAGAGTTTCTCATGCTTCAGTCCTCTCGAGCGATGAGTAGAAACGGGATTTCAGTCTACATGAAAAAACGTGTTAAATTGATTAGTATTCTCGTTTTGCAGCAGCTTGCTTTTCGGATGGCTAGACAAGTGCAATGTTTTAAATCTTTCAGTCACTACTTGGAAGGTGAAACTTCGAACTGAAAGAAAATATTTAGGAAAAGAAGTGTTTCTCTGGTGGGTTTGTACACCAGCAAGTGGTATCTGAAAATCAGACCACTTAAATATGGACATTTAATTCTAAAGTTGACTTGCAAATATTCAGATCATCCAGATGTCTTTGAATGAGAGTTTCAGCCTTAGATTAATAAATAATGAAAAGAAGAGTACAACCATTATTTTAATGCTATTTGTCATTAAAGATCTGGCATTAGAGCATTCTTTAGGTTTACCCTAATTAATGATGTTTTAATGATAAAGCTTAATTAAGCTTTGGGAAATTAGCCTTACTTGGCCAGTTGACCTCTCTTCTCTGTAGTACACAATTCTTTTAAAAAGCATTTATTATTCTTATTTTAAAATAAAATATAAGTAACGTGTTGAAGAAAATATAAATAATATAGTAGAGATAACAACCCTTAATATTTTATTATGTCTTTTCCAGCCTTTTGGGAATCCTGCGACATATATATATGTATATATATTTTATCCTCACCCGAGGACATTTTTCCATTTTTTGTTCAGGTAGAGTGGGAGGGAGAGAGAGGAACAGGGAGAGAGAGAGAAACATTGACGTGAAAGGATCACATCGAGTGGCTGCCACCTGCACAACCAACCAGGGCCGGGGACAAACTGAAACCGAGGTACGCACCCTTAGCGGGAACTGAACCCTAGTCTCTCGGAACCACAGGCCGATGCTCTAACCGCTGAGCAAAACTGGCCAGGGCCTACGACCTATATATATATATATTTTTTATCCTCACCTGAGGACATTTTTCCATTCTTTGTTCAGGTAGAGTGGGAGGGAGAGAGAGGAACAGAGAGAGAGAAACATCGATGTGAAGGGACACATCGAGTGGTTGCCACCCGCACAACCGACCAGGGCCGGGGACAAACTGCAACCGAGGTACGTGCCCCTAGCGGGAACCGAACCCGGGTCTCTCAGGACCGCAGGCCGACGCTCTAACCACTGAGCCAAACCGGCCAGGGCAACGACCTATATTTTTAATAATAAAATGCAATATATACACTTTGTAACTGCTTTTTTTTTTCTTAATATTTTGTGAGCAGCGCCTGATACCATTCCATGTTTTTCCATTTGTGTGTAGAAAGGTTGATTAAGAATTAGTATAAGGAGCTTATCCTAGCAAACTTGTTAGAAGAGGGATAGATAATTTGTCTCAGACCTGTTATGCATAACTAGCATGCAATTCTGATTTCTATTCATGCTTATTGGAGGTTGCTTGGGACTTGGTTAATGGAAATAAAAGGAGTTTGGCTTGAGAACTCCCTATGCCATTTTCCACTTTTATCACTATGAAAATAAATCATAATTTACTTAACCAGTTCTCTGTTATTAGATATTAAGGTAGTTTTCAATTTTTGACATAGGAAGATTATGTACTGTACTTTTGTGAACTTTTTATTATGGAAAATTACAGACATGAACTAAAATAAACAATAGCTTAGTGAATTCTTAGGTACCCATCATAAGCTACTGTTTTGTTTTTATGTCTCCTCTACACCTTATTTATTTTTTCTAGACTATTTAAATATGATCCTAAAGATGATGTAATTTCACTTGTAAAAACATTATTCTGTATCTCTAGAAGATAAGTCTTAAAAAAATAACACAGTACCATTATTGATTCAACAAAATTAATAATGCTGTAACATCATCTAATAATACCCAGTCCATTTTTATGTTCCCCTATTTATCTTAAAAATACTTTTATGTATTTGTTCTTTCAATTCATGATCCAACAAGGCCTACATATTGTAGACTACAGTTTTAAAGCCAAATTTTAACATTTCATTATAAAATATATGCTATCTTTCTAAGGTAAAATATTTAATTTAGGATGAAAAATCTATTTGTATTTTCTTTAGGCAGTTAGTTCTATTATTTGTGTTACACAGCCATCAGATCTTTTTTTTTTCCTGGACTTAGAAAAATGTTTTGAAATTCATTCAGTTAAGGGCCCCATCAAGAAACAGAAGATACACTCACATTAGATAATTCAAGGAAAGTTTAATGAAGAGATTAAACTGTACTGGAGGTGTAGGTTAACGACCAGATTGTACAGTACCCTAAAGTTTACAACCTCAAGGCTATTATCACCTCTAAGCCTGAAGGGAGAAAGGGAAATAAAGGTTACTGGAAGCTATATGGGGAGAAAGGACTGCTTTAAGAGAAGCTGTGTGTCTTGACACAGCCAATCAGAGGTGGTCTGGGGGTTGGGAGGTGATACTAAGCTCATTTTCTTCCCTTCCTTCTGTGTACAGAGAGTAGAATCGTAGAGAGTGGATCTGAAAGGCAAATGGAAGACATCTAGCTCAGGAATAAAATTAACTCGATGTTTACATTTCAATTCTGTTTTAGATTAGTGAGTACTTTGAAGTAGCAAGGAATACCTTTTTCTATACTGTTAGTAGACATTGTGGATGTGGAAGGAATCAATTATTGTGAAAGAACCCAGTGATAAGCATTATTTAAAAATATTATTTTGGTACTGGGAATTCTCTGATAATGTTGGTTCTTTTAGAATAAATCATTTGTTTTCCTGAAATAGAAGCTTCTTTTTCCTCAGGATGGCAGTTTCTCATCAAAACACATTAATTTTGATCTGTGAACATGAAATTAGCCCTTAATGGGATGATTTTCTAGACCCAGAAAGTTTAGAAGAAATCAGTTAGGAAAAGGTAGATGGTTTTAAGTACAAAAAAGAAAGAACAACAACAAGTGAAAATTAACACTAGAAAAAAAAGCCATTAAAATTTTTTTCTTTATTGATTTTTAGAGAGAGAGGAAGGGAGAGGGAGAGAGAGATAGAAACATCAATGAGAGAGAACATCAATTGACCACCTCCTGCATGCCTCCCCACTGGGGATCAGGCCCACAACCTGGGCATGTGCCCTGACTGGGAAACGAACCGGCAACCTCTTGATGCATGGGTTGATGCTCAACCACTGAGCCACACTGGCCAGGTGAAAAAAAGCCATTTTAATTAAAAAATTGTTGGAGGGGATTGGCGAAATTGGAACTACTAATACTGTAGGAATAATATATATTGATAGTTTTCCTGGAATGAAGACATGGCTTCAGAGTAGGAACTGTGCTTCTGTCAGCTGTTATCTCTATCCCACAGAGGGAATAGAAGTACTTTCTGTGTCAGGGTTCTCTGCTGCTGTGGAGTGTCTAGGGGATTTTCAGAGCCCATTCAGTGTAATTATGGAAGCTGAAGCCTGGGACAACTCTTGCTAGTTTGGGGGTATATTTTTTTTTCTAATTGCTCTGAATGTCATTCTTGGGGGAGTTGATTTGAGGGTTAACAGGTGATCTAAAACATCAGAAAAGAGTAACTATTAATCAAAAGTGACTAAATATGATTTTCATTTTTCCAGGACAGATGGGAGTTTTGTGGTTCATGATATACCCTCTGGATCTTATGTAGTGGAAGTTATATCTCCTGCTTACAGGTTTGATCCCATCCGAGTGGATATTACTTCAAAAGGGAAAATGAGGTGAGAGCAACTAATTTCATTTTTATTGTAGTCTGGGTTACTGAATACCTCATTATATATTACTTTTAGAATTATAGTTAAGATTGAAAATTTTCTTATTTAGACTATAGGTATTCCTTAAAATAACATTTAAAACACATTTACATTGTGTTATTCTGAGGATTGATGATAATGTAAAGTTGAACTTCTGCTGTGGCTTAAAACTTATTTTAAAACTCCAAATATGATTATACAGAGAAGAGATAAAATTACCTACTATACAGTAAAAGCACTGTGAAAGTTAAAATTGAAATGTGATTAAAGTTAGAAATAATTTAATTTTTCTAAATTGGGAATGTTATTCATTACCTTTTCTTCATTGGGATAGTTTGATAATATCTTAGTACCTATTTGATAGTATGTTGATCTAGAAATTTCTATAGTGCTTCCTTTTTGGAGTATTTAATGTGCAATGGAAATTTACTATTTCTTGGGAAAATAATAGATTACATTGTAGAGTTTATCTCGAAGTGAGGACCATGATAAGAAAAAGAAAAGCCAGCATTAGAGGCAGACAGACTAGGAAAAAATTCAGAATTTCTAAGTAGATGGATAAGTGATTAGAATTTGAGGTGAAAAGAGTTTTGTACCAATTCAGACTGAATGTGGAATACCACAAACATTTGCAGTTGGATTCAGTAGTATAGAGGTCCACAGTGTTCAGATTCAGCCTTCTGTTACAATCTCCAGGTTATTTATTTGTTTATTTTATTACTGTCTTCTGCCAGTGGTATTATTTGTTTGTTAATCCTCACTCAAGGATATATTTTTCATTTTTTTAATCCTCACATGAGGATATTTTTTTCCATTGATTTTTTTTTTTCAGATAGAGTGGGAGGGAGGGAGGGAGAGAGAGAAACATCGATATGAGTGAGACGCATGGACCAGCCACCTCCCACACGTCCCCAACCAGGTCTGGGGATTGAGCTTGAAACCCAGACACGTGCCCTTGACCGGGAATTGAACCCAAGACCTTTGGGTCCCAGGGTCAATGCTGTAATCGCTGAGCCAAACCAGCTGGGGCACCAGTGATATTCTTTTTAGTCTAATCTCATCAGGAAGTATGTGAAGCAATTTTATATATTTATTTTTTTCTAACTTTATTGAGGTATAATTAACAAATAAGAAACAGTTTCAAATGTTAATATCTCTTTGTTTGCACTACTACAAAATTACTCCATGTTGCTGTAATAAAGTATGAGTCATGCAGTGGCAAAAATAATTTTGGGGTTGGAGGAGCTGTGTTTTATAACTGATCTTTTCAGTATATGCTAAGCCTGTTTAGGTTGATTTGTAGTTACCACAGATTGAGCTGACATAGTAAGAGGTATGTTCATTTGGTACCATAATATTTATGTTGAGATAGTGTTTATTTCTAAAATGTTTTTCTCTTTTTTTGCTTATTTTTATTGAAAGTTTATAAAGTATAATATGTAAATATGCTATAATTCAAATAGAGTAACACAGAGAGCTGTCTTATCCTTTATATCAGCTGCATATTAGTCCATTGACGGATTTGCCATCATTTATATAACCAACTCCTACTGATGGACATGTAGGATTTTCTGCTTCCTCTTTTAGCATGTATAGTGAATAGAGATGGTTATTCTGTAGTAATTTAAGTTCTTATTGTTACCATGAAACCAATACCATCATGTCACTAAAAATACATTCTTTAGCCCTATCTGGTTTGGCTCAGTGGTTGGAGTGTCAGCCTGAGGACCAAAGAGTTGTGGGTTTGATTCTGGTCAAGGGCACATACCTCAGTTGCGGTTTGGTCCCTGGCCCTGGTTGGGGTTGTGCGGGAGGCAACCAATCGATGTGTCTCTCTCACATTGATGTTTCTCTCTCTCTCTCTCTCTCTCTTTTTCTTCTTCCCTCCCTCTCCCTCCCACTCTATCTGAAAATAAAATGGAAAATTCTTTAGAAATATTACTTTCCCCTCTTTTTTTCTCCTCTTTTTGAAGTCCAGTTCTTGTCTTAGATTATTCTACTTTGTCTAAATTCTAATCATATTTCTTGCTGTTGGGTATTTAAGCAAGGGTAAAGCATGAATTGAAGCTAATACCTTGGACATATGTTTATAAATAATCTTTGATGTAATAGAATAAATGATAAATGGATTGCTTCACAGTATGTGAACCTCATTACATATCAACTTTCTCATGCTATTTATTTATTTATTTATTTATTGTTTCATTTTTAATTTAATTTAATTTTTTTTTTGATGGTACGTGCCCCTAGCAGGAACTGAACCCGGGATTCTCTGGTACGCAGGCCGATGCTCAACTGCTGAGCCAAACTGGCCAGGGCTTTCTCATGCTTTTTAGAGACATAAAGATTTTAATTTTTATGTACAGGTAAAATTCTAGTATGTAAATCTAAACCTTAAAGGACTTATGACTTTCTCTACATTTTGAATTGCAGGCTTGCAGATGGGGGAGGGATATGTAGATTACAGTATACATTATACATTATATACAGGTTAAAATTTTTTTAAAATTGCAAACACTGAATACTGGAGGGAATGAGAATTGTTAAAAGGGGATACTTGTCTGTGAAAAACTAAATTATTATTTATTTGTTCTTTTTACTCTGTTTGAATTTTGAATTTTGTAGTCTAAGCAAATAGGAATATTTTTCTAAATATAAAGTTTTATTTGCTTTTTTACCTTGGGTAGAGAGTACTTCCTGCTTTAGCAGTTAAGGACTGGTTGCAGCAGTGGGATTCATATTCTCAGATTCATTCCTGATGATTGGATGCCTGAAGCATAGGTAAAAAAACACACCAAAAAACAAAATCGAGGCCCTTAGCATTTTAATAATTGGGGGTGGGATAGAGTAGAGAACAAAGTGAGGTTCATATAAGATCCTAATATTCTTGACCAATGTTTTATAAGCATAGTTGGTAAGTTAGTATCAAGTATATGTGGGACTTCCATTTCTGACATTTTGGCAGAATGTAAAATCTTAGAAATACTGGATAAAATATGGATAGCTATTTCTTTTAAATGTGTAGCTTAATTCCAAGTCTTGTGTTCTTTCTGTACATTTTGGTAAATATTTTAAACATACAGGTAAAGGTACTTTGATCAGATTTTCAGTATCAAAAGTTTAGATACCTAAGTATTTGGGAAAAACATAAGGCATTGCTAATATGTTATAGGCAGTTATTTTAACTAGTAATGTTTTTAGTAGAATTACTGATGCTTTTTTTTTTTATGTTACTTTATTAGAGCGAGATACGTGAATTATATCAAAACATCAGAAGTGGTCAGATTACCCTATCCTCTCCAAATGAAATCTTCAGGTCCACCTTCTTATTTTATTAAAAGGGAATCATGGGGCTGGACAGACTTTCTGATGAACCCAATGGTATGTATCAGGTTACAATAAAGTATCTTTACTAATCCCTAATTTGCTTCTAGTCAGTTAATCCCTATGAGATAGAAAGCTGAAGTCAGATTGTTGGATGAAAGGATAATTATGATTAATTTGTAGATTTCAGGAAAACAGTGGCTTGGGAATATAAAATGAAAAGAATATAGTGAGAATTGCATGGTAGATTTGACATTGAAATGTGCAACAGAATTTGGATAAATACTTATTTATGATGAAATGTTTTAAAATTCTAATGGAGTAAGAATATGTGCCAAGTCACACGGGAGCTGTCTCCTCTTTTGTACTACTTTACATTAGTCCAGTGATGAGTGTGTCATCATTTATTAGCCAGCCCATTATTGATGGCATAGGTAAGTTTTTTTTTTTTACTCCTTTTTTGGCAAGTATAATGAGCAGAGAGAACTTATTCTGTGGTAATTCAAGTATTTAGTATTATCATGAAACTGATGTGATGCTCTCCACTAATTAAAAAAAAACTAATAAAATGTATTCTTTAGAAATAAATTAACTTTTTTCTGCTGCTTCTGAAAGTTGAATATGATGTTAGAATTGTCTAAGTTTTGATCATATTCCTTGCTGATAGCTATTTAGATTACAATTAGGAATGTTTGGGGCTGTACATCCTCTAGAGAGGAATAAATTAGTATCTAGAATCTCCTGTCAGGGATAAAGAAGCAGAAAGGTAGAGTGGATAGAAGTGAGTAGTGAGACTTCAAAACTTACTAAGAAATAGCTTCCATGTTTTAATTTTTTTTTAAATAATTTGTTTTTGTTACAGATGTTTCTCCTTTTTCCCCCATTGACACTCTCCTCCCCCATCTCCCCTGCCCCAACCCCAGCCCCAGCTTTGTTGTCTCTGTCCATTGGTCATGCATACATGCATATAAGTTCTGTGGTTTATCTCCCCCCTCAACACCCCCTTCTCTGAGCTTTGTCAGTCTGTACCCCACCTCTGTGTCTCTGGATCAGTTTTGTTCATCAGTTTGTTTAGTTCTTTATATTCCACAAATAAGTGAGATCATGTGATACCATGTTCTAATATATATTTTTTAATTTTATTTATTGATTTGCAAGAGAGAGAGAGAGATCTGTTTGATCTGTTGTTCCATTCATTGATGCATTCATTGGTTGATTCTTGTATGTGCCCTGACAGGGAATCAAACCCACACTCTAGGAGTATTGAGATGATGCTCCAACCATCTGAGCTACCCAAGTAGGGCCATGTTCTAATTTCTGAAGTTTATGGAAGCATATTCAGAGCTCTAAGCTTCTAGGTCATCTTTTGAACTGATCTGCTAAAGTAGGTGCCTAGTGTTATATTGCAGGCTCTAGATGATGTACATGAGTGAGAGGTGCAATATACTGTTTTCTCCAACCACCAGAAAGTCATCTGGAAAGAGCAGCTCAGCTGACTATCAGAATCACCAATCCCAATGCCAGATTGCAGATTGAAGAGAGTGAATAGATAGTTCTGTTTGAAAACTATTCATGTTAAATAAAACTGAAAACTGGTAGGTGGCACAAATACAAAGTAAAGTGTCTATAAAGTCCAAACACATATAGATAATAAGCCTTTTATGTTCTGCAACAGTCAGACATTGAGGAGCACCTTGCCATCAACAGGACTAGTTCAGTAGAATTGAGGTGGTTGCTGCTAGTTTTATTCTATATACAACATTTAAATCTTTACTTTTATCATTGGTTGTTAGTGTAGATTTTATTCTACTGTTAAGTGGAAAAAAACATTTTCTAAATTTCTTCTTCCCCCCACAGGTTATGATGATGGTTCTTCCATTGTTGATATTTGTACTTCTGCCCAAAGTGGTCAACACAAGTGATCCTGACATGAGACGGGTAAAATGATTGCGCAGCAGTGAATTTTTTAACCATATTCTGATGCCTGGTCCATCTGTTGTGGTTTGATCTTTCAGTTTTATCCTTATCTCAAGCCAGATTCATCTAAAGGTTGTGTTAATACAGTATTATGCTCCTGGCATTTAGATAGTCATTTCCAATGGACCAGATACATTCAGTTGTTTCTGCTTGATAAAGGCCTGAGTCTCTTCACATAGTTAAAACATTCTACTTAGTACTAGACTCTTTGTGCCTCACTTGTTAAATAGTTGTAATGCATAGTAATCCTGATAAACCTAACACAAATGTTTTGCAAAATGATAACTTCTTATAATCTATTTTTACTTTGCCAAACTCTTCAGATCACACATTTAGTTTATGTGTTTAGACACATAAAAGAAATTTGAATAGACAAAGGGAGAAACATAGAATAGTGGCTTTCAGATTTTGTACTATAAAACTAGACTAGTTTGGCATAGGGGCAGTAGTTGCCAAGTAGGATGCTTCAAATTTAGTGCCACCACACTAAATATTGATTTCCATATAAAATACTCACATTTTTTATTTATTTTTTTCTTTATTGATTTTAGAGAGAGAGGAAGGGAGGGGGAGAGAGAGAAACATGGATGAGAGAGAACATCGATTGGCTGCTTCCTGCATGCCCCCCACTAGGGATTGGGCCCACAACCTGGGCATGTGCCTTGACCAGGAATCAAACTGTCGACCTCTTGGTGCATGGGTCGACACTCAACCACTGAGCCATACCGACTGAGCAGATCTTCAGTTTTTTAAAAACCATTGTTCTTTCTTCCATCCAAACCCATTAACAAATACCTTCTTAGTTTCAAGTTTCTCTATTATAATTAATGTATTGATGTGTTGACATCTTATTTGTTGCTGAAAAACATTTACTAATCAATTTCTAGGTTCTCGTTATTGGGGAGTATGCAAGTGAATTATTATATCATCCCTGTCATCAACAAACTCATAATCCAGTTAAGTGTAGGAAATAGAATGGATTTATAAAAAATTCTTCTTGCCATCAGGGGAATGTGTGTATGTGTGTGTGTTTTAATAGGACAATAAGATAAACATAAAATAAATACAAATGTTTGGTGATATAGTAGGAGATTAAGTTTTGTAGAAGGTGGGGCATTTTATGCCAAGCTAGACAGGCAGAAAAAGCTTCATGAAAAATGAAAGCTTTTATGATGTTTCATAATAAATTTTGGCATTTCTGCTTCAGTGTTGACCAGAAAGTATACATCCTGTACAATTCTTGTATCTATTAAGCCAATTAACTCTCTGTGGAATCAACAGAGGCAGCATTAGTAGTCACATTGGATTAAAAGTTCATTACTTGCAAAGTACTTTGCACATGTTAAGCAGTATAAAAAGTTACTCATTTAAGAGCTTCAGGGAGCATGCCTGTGTCTTTCCCTTCCCCCTCTTCTCTCTCAGGCATGCATCTTCTAAACTCTAAGGGACCCCAGGAAACTTGCATCCAGGGGAGCAGTGGTCAGTGGTAGCTTATCCCAGGCTAACCCCTGGAACCTGTCTCCAACGCCCTCTTTTCTCTGACTTTTCATTGAACCAAAGTAGCCCTGCCGAGGTGCTCTCCTATTGCTGCTTCTATCCTAAGCCCTTCCCTGTGTCATGGTCCCCAGCTTTAATAAACATACTCTCAAAAAAAAAGAGAGCTTCAGAATTGAACAGATTAAAAAATAGAGTTGATTGCCCTGGTTGGTTTTGCTCAGTGGTTAGAGTGTCGGCCCCCAACCCAAGAGTCGAGGATTTGATTTAGGCCAAGGGCACAACGTAGTTTGGTTGTGGTTCGTCCCAGGCCCTGGTCGGGGTCGTGCGGAAGGCAACCAATCAGTGTGTCTCTCTCACATCAATGTTTCTCCCTCCCTCCCTCCCTCTCTACCTGAAGATAAATGGAAAAATATCCTCTGGTGAGGATTGAAAAAAAATAGAGTTGAGATATATTTTTGCAGGGACTTAAGACCTGTTACCCTATATGTTTAATTTTTTATTATTAGGGCACATTAACATATTTGATTTATATTTATAATGTTTCTCCTGGCCTTATTTGTAAAAGTGCTTTCTCCTTCAAAACCCATGTATAAATTCTGCCTTTGGGGAGAAAGCCCAAGCTAATACTCAAACGGTGTTCAGTTTTAAGTGATAGATAATATAGTATTTGCTATTTTTAAATATCTGAACAAATACAATTTTAAGTTTACTTTTGGAATGTCACATAAAATTAAAATGAAGCAGACATTACATTAATATTGTGAAAGTGGAACAGTACTTTATGGATTGTTGGCTCAATAAGGGGGAGGACAAAACCTCAAAATAAAAGTGCCAGATCCTTATCCTGTCCTGCCAGTAACTTGTTTGTAACATTTATGTTGCTTGCTTTAGATGCTGTAGTTGAGGTCACCCAGGTTATACAGCATAGATTTATTACTAAGGGCCTTAGGAATCAAGTCTTAGAAATACTGCTGTTATCTTCCAAATTACTCTGATACCTTGATATTCTGGATATATGTATCTAAAGAAAGCATGAATTTAAAAAAACACTCATCGCCCTGGCTGGTTTGGCTCAGCGGTTATAGCGTCGGCCTCGGGACCAGAGAGACCTGGGTTTGGTTCCTGCTAGGAGCACATACCTCGGTTGCGGTTTGTCCCTGGCCCCAGTTGGGGTTGTGTGGGTGGCAACCAGTCGATGTGTCTCTCTCACATCGATGTTTCTCTGACCTCCTCCCTCTCAGAAAACATAAGATGGTAGGAATATGATTATATATGTCCACTGTCAGAGGAAATGCCTTTTATATAAACAAGCTGAATCAAACCCTGGGCAAGCATTTATTGGACATTTACTAAGGATCAAAATGCTTAGTGGGATAAAGGAGGTGAGAAACATGGTTTCTGAAGTGCTGTTGCATCATTGCTTAGAACCAGTGCCTTTTACTTCTACTCCTCTCCTTTCTTAAGGGAAGTATAACCTGTTCAGTGACCCAAAGGATCAGGTGCCTTTCATGCCATTATGTTTTCTCTTTTTGCAGGAGATGGAGCAATCAATGAATATGCTGAATTCCAACCACGAATTGCCTGATGTTTCTGAGTTCATGACAAGACTCTTCTCTTCAAAGTCATCTGGCAAGTCTAGCAGCGGCAGCAGTAAAACGGGCAAAAGTGGGGCTGGTAAAAGGAGGTAGTTGGGTGGTCCAGAGCTGGCGTTTGCACAAACACAGCAACACTGGATGGCATTCAAGTGGTGAGGGAAAACCTTGTGAAGCAACTACTGTAAACTTGAGTCATCCTTAAAGTTGATCTCTTCTAACTGTTGTGTGTAATAACTCTTCAGTACATGTTTTGAACTTGGTACACAAGAAAACCCAGCTTTCATTCTGTGTGAGGTCAATATTGATGTCACTGAATTAATTACAGTGTCCTATAGTAAATGACAATAATAAATTATATGAAGTACTATACATTATGTATATTAAAATGTCTTAACCCAGAGATAAAATCATCTTGTCATTTTTTTCCACTTGATGTTTCTTTTATTCCTGAAAGGTTTATTCTGTCTTTGATTATCTGAGGCTTGAAATTGATCCTTCCTGTTTAAACACAAGTGATCGATGTTTTTAGAGCAGCATGAACCATGGTTTTTTAGTCAGATCATTCAAAATTCTCAGCCCTGACCTGCCATTTAAGATATCCTGATGATTGAGGCAGAACCACACATTGCTGATGTACTTTCAATTTTTTTTTATTACAGTTAGTTTAAGAGTATGAGTATATGAATTACAGTAGATGTTACCAGTTTTTAAATTCTGCTTACCAGCTATGGTATTCATTATTGAGTATTGGCTGTGTCCTGTGATTCAAGGTAGGATACAGAGATAATGTCCAGTGCCTGTCCTCAATACAGCATACCATAAAGAGAGGGAGCACAAACAATAATAGGGAATGAATGGCCAGGGGGAGGAAGTGCAGCAGTAGGAGAGCCTTCAGAGTCTGAGGATAGAAAATCAACCTTAGAGCTTCGTGTGATACTGGTGATATAGCTCAGGTAGCTTTTCAATCCCCTCATCTCTCCCATCACTGGTTCTCACAGTTGGAATATAAATCACTACTCTCCAGTCAGGGGTGTCTCAAAACTTTTATTTAAATAGTTATAAAATTTTCACACCTTGTCTTATGGGTTGTTCTAATTAAAGAGGAACTCTGAGGCTATAGTATTGCTTCTAGTAGAGGGCTCCTATCCTTTCCTGTGTTAAAGAACTCCCCTGTTGCTTTTCTTCAGGTTACTAAATCAGCAAAAAGACAACAGCAAAAAAGACTGGTTCCAAACTCTTATTTTCCCTTTTGTAATAGGTGCCATTGTTCACTTTGAAATGAGGTACGTAGGTTTTCTTTTGAAGAAATAAGTTCCAATGCAGGACATTTGTATCATATAAAGGAAGAACTATATCTCTGTAACACTATATCTTTGGTAACGCTAAAATTACCAAACTGGTTACTTTACAAGTGATTAAGGTGGGAAAACTGGTTAATGTGAGAACTGGATCTTTTAAAATAGAGTAATTTATTGAAAATAAAATATTAGAACGGCAATTAAATGAAAGTTATAATTTAAAGGAGACAATATGTATAATAAGAGTCATAGTTGTATATCCAGAAATCATGAAAAATTTCAAAATCTGGATTGTCAAAATTTGTATATGAAATACCTAATGAAAAAGAAGTTAGAAAGCACTGCCAAGAAAATTACCATTTCAAGTGTTAAGAAACTATGTGTGGTTATTTTACATAGATTCTAACACCATCTGAATGTAATATATTTATATATCCCTTATATTGCAGAATGCTATTACATCACTTGCATATTGCAAATTTTACCTTTGCATAGAACCTTCATCAAATGCTTAATGTGCTTACAGGTGCAGAAATGATTGTATATTATTAGAAAATAGGGGTTTAGTGCAAAGAGTCCTGGTTTGCCTGCTAAATAAATTGCTTTGTGACTTTGGGCAAGTCACTTTCCCTCTTTGCACCATGTCTTGTTCATTGTATTTCCAGCACTGAGCATGTAGACACACAATAAATGTTTGTTCAATGAATAAATAAATGGGCCTCAAGTTTCCTCATCTGTAAATTGAGGATTTGAATTAGACCTGTAAATTCCTTTTCAGAGCTAAAATTCCACTATCCTTTTAACTGAGTCCTATTATTTCCTGCCCTTAAGAATTATATGATCAGTGATCAGTGCCAACTTTCTCTTTTCTTACTTCCTTGAGTTCTTTCTGCTATTCCCCATTTGGAGACAGAATATTATTTTGCTCTTCTTTAGGGCCTTTCTTAGATTCAGTTTACATGTAGTATCTTCTTTGAAATGTAAGCTTTGTGTTTTAAATTTTTTTTAATGTTTTTATTGATTTTTTTAAGAGAGAGGAAGGGAAAGGGAGAGAGAAACATTGATCAGCTGCCTCCTGCACGCTCCCCACTGGGGATTGATCCTACAACCTGGGCATGTACCCTGACGGAATCAAACCAGCAGCATTTTGGTGCATGGGACAATGCTCAACCAATTGAGCCACACTGGCCAGGACCATGTTTTAAAATATTTTAAATCTACTAAATTAAACCTGGGTAGTGACTTTGCACAAAACAAATCTTTTCCTCCCATTCTTGCAAGGAAGTTCTGAGTACCCAGGATGTATTCGTAGCACCCAAGTTTTTAAGTACTTTTTTAAGGAATCAAATCTTAGGACTTCACCTCAAGTCTGGTTTACATTTATAAGATCCAGGATTTTACCTAACCTTCCCAGAGTAGTAAAGTATCTTATTTCCCCTTATGTTTCCTCTGACAGGAGGGAAGAAGCAACTACTCAGCAACTTTTCAGTAGTCGAGTATGGAGGAATATCAATAATGATAAAGGAGGATACTTTCATTTAAGTAGTCACTCAGACTTTCAGGAAGTTTGGGGTTTTTTAGTGCTCAGCCAAGTTAAAAATTATTTAAAATATATTAAATATCTTTTAAGAATTAAGACAAGTATTTTCATTTTTATTTATTGCCTTCTAGGTCACATATAGACATATTTGCATGTTTACAATTATGTATGAACCATTTTGTATTTAAACTCAACAGAAATTCTGCTAATTACTAATCTTAGGGAACAGTAAAAGTTAGTGGCGGAGTCCTTTAGTTTAATTCAAGTATGTTGAGTCAGGACCTAGTTGTACTGTGTCTTTCTTTTAGCACTTTAAGTGTGAATATTGTCAGCACTATTTGTTCATTTTTAAGGTGTATGAGAATATCCAATTAGTAAAAGTGTATTATTCAGGGGAGATTGAAGATAGGTTTTGCAAGATTTAGATGTTGCTTATGAACTATAAACATTGTTTTAATATTCTTGAAAAAAAGATAAAATATTGAAAGAGTTATTTTAGAAAAATTCCCCCCACCCAAGTACCACCAAATATTAGCCTAGCTAATGTAAGTCATTTGTTCTCACTATTAATGAGCTCCTGTGACATATATTTGGATATTGTAAAACATTTCTAAATAACTAGTACAAAGACTAGGAATATTTAGAATTAAATGATCATGATAATTTACATGAAGATTAAGAAATGGAATCATTCTCTAAGTGTGATGAGATGATTCATGAAGGACCGTGAGAAGATGTGTAAGAAAAGCTTCCCTGCAATAACTGTCATGGAATCTTGTCCATGACACACAAGAAAGAAAGAAAAATACCATTTGCTCTTGTCTCTCCACAGGACTGGATGGACATGCCTTTCTACCCACAGCTGGTTGGACCGTGGGTGGGACTTGAGCCAGTCAGTTGGGTGGTACTGGATCAGAGAAGGCAGTATGCTGATACTGCACCACAGGTAAGCACAAGCAACAGTGGAATCTACAAGTCTAAAGATTCTGGCCAGCAAAGAGAGTGTGGCAAATGCCCAGGTGGAAGACCATGGGCACTCCACAGGGGGACAGAGAGAGTAGCTGCCAGATACCAGTCCAGTTCCATGGAGGCTCAGCTACTCTTCTTACCGTGGGTTCTGTGAAAACCTCTTGAATGTCTCCCCCTACCATCTCCACCCTCACCCCTATTATCATCTATCCTGACCAGGTGTGTACTGTGTTCAGTTTTAGCCTCTCTAAGAGGATACACAGAGGTTTAGAGAAAAGCTGCCAGTGATGGGTATTCATGTTTTTCTGTACAAACGATACTATTGACTTCATGAATGAGATATATATATATATATTTTTATCCTCACCCGAGGACGTTTTTCCTTTTGTTCAGCTAGAGCGGGAGGGAGAGAGAGAGAGAAACATCAACGTGAAAGGGACACATTGAGTGGCTGCCACGACCAACCAGGGCCGGGGACAAACTGCAACCAAGGTACGTGCCCTTAGTGGGAACTGAACCCAGGTCTCTCTGGACCGCAGGCCAACGCTCCAACCGCTGAGCCAAACCGGCCAGGGCATGAGTATTATATTAATTAGATATAATTAAGGATGGATTAAAGGGTATACTTTTTCAGTTTGGTAAAGAGAATGCTGAAGGGATTTTTTAAATACTTGATAATCCCTTTAAAGTAAATTCTGATTAGCTATGTACCACTCCATGAAGTCTGAGAAAGGAAATGGACTTAAATTGCAGCAGAAGGAATTGCAGTTGAGAGAGAGACACGAATTGGTTGCCTCCCACAGGACCCCAACCAGACCCAGGGATTGAACCTGCAATCCAGATACATGCTCTTGACTGGAATCGAACCTGCGACCCTTTGGTCTGAGGGCCAATGCTCTAACCACTGAGCATAACTGGCTAGTTCTGTTTTGTTTTTAAAAATATATTTTGATTTTTTTAAACTTTATTTTGAGAGAGAGGGAAAGGGAGAGAGAGAGAAATATCACTGAGAAACATCAATTGGCTGCCTCCCACACGCCCCCTACCAAGGATCAAACCCACAACCCGGACACGTGCCCCATCTGGGAAACGAATCAGTGACCTCTTGGTCCATCAGGTGATGCTCAACCATGGATCTAAACTGGCTAGGCAAAAATATATTTTTACTGATTTTTTTTAGAGAGGAAGGGAGAGGGAAAGAGAAACATTGATGCCTCTTGCATGCCCCCTCATGGGGGTTGAGCCTGAAACCTGGGCATGTGCCCTGACTGAGAATTGAACCAGTGACCTCGTGGTGCATGGGACAGTGCTCAATCCACTGAGCCAAACCGGTCGGGCGAACAGCACAGGTTTGAACTGTGTGGGTCAAGTGAAAAATCCATGTATAAGTGTGCCTGTACAGTTCAAATTCATGTTCAAAGGTCAACTGCAATTCCTTCCACTCTAAAAAACAAAAACAAAGACAGAAAAAAAACTATTGTTCAAGGGTCAGCTCCACAGTTGGGAATCCATGTATGCAAAGGGCTGTCTAGTTATGTGGATCCTTGCAGGGGAGGTCAGCACCACTAACCTCCAAGTTCTGGGATCAGTTAGTTTGTTGTGAAGTTCTTGAAATGGTAAATGAAATTGTGAAATGCCATTCTGAGATTTACTTTTCTTGGAGTTCTTAAAAAATGGGGCAAAAAGTCACTGTTTAGGATGGTTTATATATGCAGCTACTTGATGGTGTCTCAAATTTCCTTCTATCCCCAAAGTACATCATTTTATTACCAGAATGTGAAGAATGGTAGGATGGAAAAAATTATTAGTGAAGGAGCAACAGAATTGTACTGTGGGGAAAAGGAGAGGAAAAGCTAAACTCTGACAAGAGATTTCCTTTTTTTAATGCAACATCTATTGATTGTCACCCAGTTTATCCTTTGTATCTAGTTCTCCCCTAAGAAGTGGGTGCAACTCAAAGGAGTGCTCTCGTAGCCCCTGAATTTGTCCCTGCTTTTCTAGGCATAGCTGACTGTTCCAGGAGGGGCATCTAACCCAGGCTGGGCTGAAGGCTTTCCTAGGGAATTTGAAATTAAAACTGAGAGACTAGAGGAGTAGATGGCAACATAAATTTGTAAGATGTTCATGGCTATATATTCTGTCAAGTAAACTACAAAGAAGGGAGAACAGGTTCCAGAGAGAAAATACAGAATGAAGCAGATGCATAGAGAGAAACTGAAAGGGGGGATGAATTTGAGAACTGTACCTTAAATCCTTTCCTGAGGTGACTGCGTTCTTGCCCTTGGGTTCCATGGAACACTGCTGTATCCTACAGTATAGTGTTGACGTGTTTTATGTAAGCTAACTCCAGTAGGTTTCTGTCACTTGGATCCAAGTGTCCAAACTTACACACTCTTCCAGAACTGAGCAAAATGTTGTCCAACCTGCTGAAAGATTCCTCCATTTCCTTTAGTCTACAGAATTGGCTTTGTTGCCTCCATATTCATCTTGAATGAATGGGTCCAAAGGGACTTTCTGACTTACGGGAGAGAGTGGGTGAACACAGGCTCCATCACTTACTAATTGTATGATCTTGGGAAACCTTTCTGAGCCTGTTTCATCATGTGTGAAATGGAGGAAATATCTCCTTCATGAGTAGAACTGTTCAGAACACTTTACATGCATTATCTAATTATTACAAAAATTTTTTAATTTTTATTTTTTTATCCTCACCCGAGGACATTTTTGCATTTATCTTTGCATTTATCTTCCGATAGAGTGGGAAGGAGAGAGGGAGGAAGAGAGAGAGAGAGAGAAACATCAACGTGAAAGGGACACATCGAGTGGCTGCCACCCACACGACCCCAACCAGGGCCAGGGACAAACTGCAACCGAGGTACGTGCCCTTAGCGGGAACTGAACCCGGGCTTCTCTGGTCCGCGGGCTGATGCTCTAAATGCTGAGCAAAACTAGCCAGGGCACATTAACCCTGTGCATTTAAGTTCTCAGTAAAAGTTTGTGATTATTGATATTCTTACCTTTTGGATGAGGAAACAGGTTAAAATTTTCCCAAGATCACCATGGTAACCTAGGACTGGATCCTGTTCACTCCTTCCTGTAGTGCTTCTCTCACACCACCAACATTCACATACCCATGTTCAATACGTAGCCATACATTTACCGCACCCTTTG